TACACCAAAAAACCCCATCCACTTCATGCAAGAATGGACATCAGTCCTAACAAGTGTCCTGTAGCTGAGTAACTCCTTGTACAACCTGCACATAAATGGGAGAAAAGAGATGACATACTCATCATGAACTATGGTGGGGCCATCCCTGGTTAAGGCCTCTTCCTTGATTACGTTGATCAGTTCAAAGGTACTGCTTATGGGAGCATCTGGGTTTGGCCATTTAGGACACTGAAAGTGGCGGACTTCCAGAACGTAGTCATCCTGCAATGAAAAACCAGCCTCGGCATTAGCTACTTCAGTTTCACATTTGTCCACTCCAGGTAGAGAGGGGGAAGAGCCTCACTACAAGCCAAAGAGACACCTTCTTCTTCCAAACAGTTTGTACAGAAAGAAGAAGACAGACACACAGCTCTAGCATCTCTGGAACAGTGAACACCCTAAAACAATGCAACTGTAACAAAATGTTTAATTAATAAAAGATTTGTATTTGAGTTCAGGGCTTACATCCATAGAAGCCTTCTCTCAGAGCCCTTACAGCTCAGAAGTCAAACACGAGAAGAGCAACCAAAGAATTTCAACTTCAAAAGGGCTTGCAAACTAATGGTTTGCAGCAAAATCCAGCTGCAGTCCCGAAAGCAAGCTAGAGGCAGGTTTATAGCTCAAAAGAAATGTGCTGAAGTAAAACCCCTTAATTAAGACCCCCACACAACTAAACTACAAATGCTGAATTTTCTAAGCAGAAATAGGACAATGAACCTCGGCTTACTTCACAAAGAGTAATTCAATCTACTTGTGTGACTTCAAAATGAAAAACCAATGTCTTCACTTTCAAGTAAGACAAACAGTGCTACGATCTCTCTAGCTAAAGGAATCTACCTGGAAGTAGCAGATAGGAGAGGGAGAAGGAGCCAACGAGAATACCTTTCCCCTGTGAGCAACATGCATGCACACGAATTACAAGTAAATTCTTTTAAAAACTGTTCCTGAACTCTTCTTCTGTATTTAAATGACATCAATAGCATTTTGGTGAAAAGCCAAGACCCTCATTTGGGGGTTTATTTTACCTGGGTAGCTTCAAGGATAAAGTCATGGATGATAATTTGCTCTTCGTTAGAGAGGCACAGTCTGTCTTTGCTGATAAGGGTCACAGTAAAGGCCTCACAGTTCATGGATTCCTCGCGACTTGGCCAGTACACAAATTCATCTTCTGCCTGGAGGAATGAACAACACACTACTGCAGCCTTTGAGATACCTTGTGTGTGACAGAAAAATCCAGTGGATCAAAAAATTGGTTTGATAAATAGAGATGATCAGGAGCTGACCTTTAAAAACCATTCCTGTCTAAAACAAATTTATTATTACAGTAGGCACTAAGCTTGCCAGATCCTTCCTTCATGTGTCCAACAGGTAACGTCTGCTTTTTAATTGGTTTCATAGGGAAATGGTTATCTTAGCTCACTCATAGTTAACCTTTGTATTGTGTCACAGGCTTTATCACCTCCTGCCTACACAGTTTTGCATGAAAGTCAGATATCTGTTTAGAAAAACTCACTGACCTTTAAAAATTAATTGCTTATTATTTTTAATTTGTGTTTATTGTGGTCTAATGCAGAACTCAAGGTCTGTGGATCAGGTCTAGGTAGAAGACTGATGGATACTTATGTAGGGCTTGCATTTTTAGGAGCGAGGCGAGGAGTAAGGAGGAAGGAAGAAACCCAAATGCTCTTGGCAGTGAAAAAAACACTGCCTTAAGTTAATGCAATTTCTCCAGCAAAACTCCTCTACTGAAGGAACACCGTAAAATCTCATTGAGACTGTGAATGCTGGAAGCCGCTCAGTGCTGAAGTAGCCTAACTGACAGAGTGTAGTTAACATACCGTCAAAATAACTGTGCATTCCTAATTCACCACATACGTGCAAAGCTTGTTCCTCCTCCTGGCTTCAGGGGTCTACTGTCCCTGGAGGGTATGCACAGAGGCTACCCTGGCAGCATGCATGGCACTGCACACCTGCATCTCTGAACAACCTGTGTTTTACTCATGAGCAAACAAGAGCTACAAACCCACTCATCCTGCTGTGGCCATGAGCACGTCTCTAAACCCAGATTTATTTCTGTGGGCCTGGAGCCTACGTGCACGTGATGTGCAAGACACCAGTGAGATTTGGGCCTTAAATATTTATTCTGAAAATGGGACTTGGAGTGCTTTGAAAATTCTGCCCTCAGTGTGCAGAGACGCCAGCAAGCAGTGTAACATTATTGGATGCCAGGGAAGTGACCTGTCCTGCCAAGTGACAGGTCCTCACGCAGCAGTAGTGTGCATTACCATCTCATCCTTTGGCATTACACGCTCAGCACCTCGACACGCTCTCAGTCCCCTGCCAGCCCTCCTTGCCAGCCAAGAACTCACACCAAACACTGAGCCAATGCAGGGATGCTACTGCCATGCTGCCCAACCTCCACCATGGGCGCAGTGAAGGTGAAAGCAGGGACCAGGTATCCTTGCAAAGGATGTGGCCAAGTCCAGCGTTCCTCCTTTACCCTTTAATCACTATTGTTCTGCAGAGCTGTTTCATGTACTTGTAAAGACAAGATCAGCCTCTTCATTTCCACCTGACACACTTTCATTTCATTAGTGCTTTCTGATTCGATCGGATTTCTCTGAACGCTCTTCGCCTCGCAGTGCCTGCAATCCCTTTCATCGCGCCGCACACAGGACGCCTATCGACTGCTGCCTCTTTAGTAGCCCCTCATGACTGCTATTTTCCTGCTGTAATGAAGGTGGTTTCTCTTCCACTCTCAGCTACAATCGTCTGTTCACCTCAGTCATGCGTGCATGAAAAACCGAGCCGTTTAGTTCTTAATCCTTTTCAACGCACCCTCTTGAGACGTGCCAGTAAATCTGGAGGTAGTGATTAGCACTTCACCTGTGGTCTCCTTATTCTCTGTCTGTCCGTCTGATTATTTCCACTTAAATTAACACACGTGTTTGCTTTTTACTTTCGTCAAAAACAGCATTTGTAACCTTGCATGGCCTGAGCCTTAAGCCCCTGGGCAAACAAGCAACTATCCTACTGTCCCTGCTTTGTATTTCTGCTTCTCTCAAAATCCCTACCCGTGACCCTGGCCACCCAGGAACCTCAGTACCTTGCACCCTGCCAGCCAGGCGGCCCTCAGGACCTTCGCAGAGGTCGTCCTCACCAGTGTGCTGCCTGCGAGCACTGTGGTCCACCCAGCTCAGGATGTCTTTCCCAGGGGTGGGTGCAGAAGGGGACAGCAAAGAAACACGTCCCTCATCTCAGAACTCGTCTTTTTGTAACAAGCTTATGGCAAAGTTTGAGAAGGTGGCTCAAAAACTGGCTTTGCATTCAACCAGAAAATAGCTGTAGCGTGCAACTAAGTGACCCTATGCCGGTGCCCGGCTGGGCTAAGTGACTGTGGTACCGCACGGGGACGGACGCGTTGAACTCACCAGGCTCTGGTTGTCCGGCAGCATGACGATGATCTGTGCATTGTGATCCCAGATCATGCGCCAGAAATCTTTAGTCGTATGTGGCAGTGGGTGTTGCGTTATGATGAACTCGTTACTCCTGTAGTAGCCCTTTTGCAGCAAAACAAACCACACAGTTACTTATTGCCTTCAATACTTTTAAAGCATTAATTTCATCTTTGGGGACACATAATGACCCTGTTTCATTTTATTCCACAATATTTTCACCCAGACTATAATTTTATAACTCCATTTCCATTCTGCAGAGTCCCTGTTGTTTTCATTTACTCTAAATCCCAGTATTTATTTGACTGTATCTCATGGAAATACACATTCCATCTAAATGCGCCTTGTATTTAATTTTTTTAGGCAACAATCTTTAATAAAACACAGTTAATAGCTTTACATTATGGGGAAAGTGTTAAAATCTCATCTGTTAATACACAGCCATTACATACAGAATTAAGACAATTATAGGCATCTGGTATTTAGCACCTTAGAATTGATTTTACTTTGTAATTAGGTGTTGGCTTCCTCACCATGATATAAGAGGCATTAATGTAATCTGTTCCCTTCATTCCAGGCAGCGGTGCCAAGCCCACTCTAGCACGCTCAGCTATAAGATTAAAAAAATTAAGAGAGGGGGAAAAAAAAAAATATCAGTCTGGTCATGGCAAATGCAGAAAGTAAGAATTTCTCAGACGTTAACAAACCAAACACTGTGCAGCTCCCATCTCCCGCAGGAGCAGGCCAGCACTTTAACTGCGTTAAAGCATTGCCTGCTAACACAGGATATAAAAGAGAATGTTGCACAATATTCCCACAAGGACAAAGTAATTTCAGGAATCAAATTTTACTATAGCAAAGATTTTCACAGCAGGCTGAATTACCAAATAACAGTATATGCAGTGATAACAGGGGACTTCAGGTAATTCTTGACTGTAGTGTTCCATTTGTCTCCAGCAGCACACAAACCCAGCTGATTTATTTTGTTTTCCCTACCACTCCGTAGCACTACCATCACTCACTCCTCCCAGCTGGAGGGTGAGGGAACCTCCAGGGCCAAAACCCTTCCCTAACAAGTAACCATCCAGCAGCGTGCATGTGTTCTTCAGCAGATCTCCACTCCTCCATCCTCAAACCAACTGACAGGCCCCAAGTGCCAAACCGAAATCACTGCAGCTAGGTGAGACAAAGTCGTATAGACTATTTCTGCCCTGCTCACATTTGTTTTTAAGATACATCCCGATGACTTCCCTTTTTATTAACAAACTTCATGATGGGCCGTATCTGTGCCACTATTACTGTGTGCTAGCTTGGCTATTATCTGTGCCGTATGTACGCTGGGTGATGGGAATGATGTTGTGCCCATGCTTGGTCTGGTGCAAATTCCTACTGCTTGGCAACCATGCACAGATTCCACATTAATGACTGTGAAACTGTGTCCTCAGGCACTAAATACCCTCAAACCTGGGGAAGGCTCATGTGCAGAAATAGAGTGTAGTAGCTGAATTACCAACAACTTATGCCAATCACACTGGGAGATCTCACCTGAACTGGGAGCAGTATCAAAGTAATTCTGTCAGTATTCCCTAGATTTATCCCCTACCTAATTATTCAAATTCTTAAGCACTTCAAATTAACATTTCACTTGGACAGTATATGTGGCTGACACTGTAACTATTTTCTTTTGTTCAGTTTCATCAGGGTAATTCTGAAAGACAAGACAGCTTGGTCTGAACAAAAGATTACATTTCTCCTTCCTAGTGGCTATGCCTTTTCATGCATCACACCGGGAGAATTCAGTACAAAAAGTTATGCTAGGCAGTAATCAAACCGAAGATGTGATCTTACACGGCACGACTGATGAGTTCCTGTTCTTCTCTTTGTTGCAGTCTTTCTGAGCACTGAAGCATTCCACGTATTTTGCATTACACTGTGTAACCAGCTGAAAGAGAATAAAGTAGTAAGTCAGTCCTCACAGCGCTCTAAATGAAGAGGAGGTTTCTTTGCCAACTCTTGGGAAGATGCATCAGCAGAAGAATAAACCACATTGTTGAACTTGTTTAAAGTACTCAAGATGCCAATGGAAACCATCCTTTTCACACAACATGTTTAATGAATAAAAAGATCTTTGCAGCTCTCAGCTTCGAAACAACCTGAAAATGAAGTTCCATCAAAATGTATTTTCACAGAACACTACATTTAGTTATCTCTGAGAGTATATTTGAAAGACTTGCAGATATGTTCAGTCAGAAGCAGGTCTCAAGGAAGAAAAGCTAGCAAAATAAAACAACAAGAAAATTTTAATGCTTTCTTCTAAAATAAAAGCCAGAACATTCCTGCAGAATGTCTTTTTTCTGCCAGGCCTTTGGGGAACCCACCATGCCAGCATCTGAGACCTGAGGCTGTGGGTTACATTCTTGGGTCTGCCAAGTCCATTCTGGGCTGCTTATGAGGCACAGAGAAAAGTCAGGGGCCCAGATTTGTATTTGAATGCTCCCCCAGTGTATGGGAAAACTCTACCAGAGCAAAGAGGATAAAGGTGTCTTTTTCATCTCCTGCACTAGCGACTCATTACTCAGCGTAATTTTACACTGAGACGGTTGAATGTAAGCTACTGTACCAGGGCTGGAGCACAAGTTCTTTTCTGCCAGCATTGTGGTAGCAGCAGATATCAGAGAAAGATTTAACAAATGCTGCTGGTCACGTCCCAGTTTCAAAAGCACTCTAAACAAGACAGCACTCAACTCATCTATGTAGTGGTGTAAGCCCCATTAGAAGTTATGGGGTTTCTAAATACCTGTGCAACGTTGGCAGAGAAAGTAATTTCTGAAAATATCACTTAAGTTTTTGAAACTTTGCCATGAGTCATCAGAAAACACATACATATAATTTAGTATTGTTTTTAAAAGTGCAACACTTTTTAAAATAAGAAATCTTTTTCTCTTGCTGCCTTTTGTGTGCGTGTGCACGCACTTGCGCTTGTTTCCCTAATTTAGTAATTAAGCATCTGGAATTTCTTGACTGATGAAGAAGTACTGAGATTTCTACAAGTGAATTCAGAGAAAAGCCTGTTGATTTTTTGAATAGCTTGGTAGCTAGTATAATTTAACAGTTTCAGTTCCTTAGGTAGTTGTTAACTGAGTGAGTTTAGCTGTGAAAACAGATGTCATGCATAATCTTCTTATGATATATAGTCTCACAAAATATTTCTAAATGGACTAAAATGAAATGCAATCCGAAAATCTTAGGTTTCAAATAGGAGATCTGGGCAAAAAAAATTTACTTTGGCCAGGATGAAAACAGCTACGACGTAGCAGGGAAAAGCAGCAAGCATAGTTACTAGCAGTAAGAAAGGCATATTATGTTTCCTGATCTGAAAACATTTTTAATTCTTTATCCAGTGCTGAAATAGTAGGTGGTGCTAAGAACCTCAATTCATGTCTTTCTCCACATAGGTGCATGAGAGCCACAGTCTGGAGGAAGACTTCCAGCCAAGCTAACCACAGACTCGGGAATAGGGAGACCAGCAGCACCCTCCAAACCAGCGCCCATGTCCCTCTTCTCACCTCTGACTTCAACAGCGTTAGCGCTGACTTCCAGCAGTGTAGCTAAGACTGTTGAGGACAGAACTTCTCAAGATGCTGCGCTGTGCTAATCAAGTGTTCTGGCTTGGTTCCTTATCTATGACAACTGTCAGTGAAGACAGGGACAGAGTAGGGAAATTAAGTCCCTCTGGACGGCAGTGATAAGCCTTACCTTGAACTGCTTTTCTAGTCGTGTCTTGCCACCTATGCCAGGTATGAGGATGCTGTTGACATAACTATGCAGCTGGTTTGCAGATACTTCAGTTTCCTTCCCGAGGATGGCTTCCAACAAGGCATCATGAATAAAAATGTACTGCTCCTAGAAAAACAACAGGCGCTTGGAATAAACTAAACAGCTGGCTTGAACGGAGGGGCAGAGCACACTAAAGGAAAGGGTGTGCAAAACAAGCCACCCATGCAAACACTGCCAAATCCAGAATAAACATTTACAAGTGTAGCACGTACAACTGAGTAAGTCAAAAGCAAAATCTGAAGTTTCTGGTCTAGAAAAAGAGAGACATTCCAATGCAAAAAATGCCTGGTGATATATTTAGTTTTTACAGGGATGTAACTAAAAAATCCATTTTCTCTTTGATTACAACATAAAAATGAACATGGCTTTAAATTCAACCCCACTGCAATCTTTACCTCTGTCTGGACGAGGTAGTTGCGCTGTGTCCTGATATGTTTCAGGAAACCCAGGACATTAACTGTGCTTTTGTCTTTTATCTGTTGCAGCATACTGTCTATCACAATGTAGGTACCAGTTCTGCCAACACCAGCACTACAGAAGACAGAAGAGAAACTCAGGTAATACAGCCGGACCACAGTAAATGTTCACAACAGCAGAGCAGAACTAAGCAAATATTCCTCTTCACAGACTTTCATTTTCCTGTTAGCCCCAACCATGAAAGTTTCTAAACAAAGTATTTTGGGTTTCTGGGAATTTTATCAGGTGTATATTTCATGATCTGCCACTTGGCTGTCCTGTCTCCACTGCTGTTGGCTAGAAGAAGCCGTATAGAGATCCACCTTACGCCAAACTGCTGCTATCCCGGACCACCAAGGTTGCTCCAGGCTGTGAGGCTGCCCTGGTTGGCTTCAGTCTTGAGGTAAGGCTTAAGCTTCACAGTGGAGGTGTGACCCTACTCTGGAAATGCAAGTGGTATCAGCACTATGGGATGGAGTAAGAGGGGGCTAACCCGGTGGAGGCAGGACTCTTGCAGGGGAGGAGGGCGGTCCCGGGCCCAACAGAGAGGGTGGAGAGGGGAGCTCTTCAGAGCTTCACCGTTTTTGCTCAGGAAAGAGCTCTGATCCCCACCATCCTCTCCTCTTCGCTATGGTGCTCTACATGCCCCTCATACACAGTGATGAAAACCACATCCCTTAACTCGTTTAAGGGAAATCCTCTGTTGACTGCAAGTGCTGGTGAATGTGAGTGTGGTTGAGTGGCAACTGCATGCCCAGGTGTCCGTCTAGTCACACGGCTGGTTGCCAGCAGAGGTAATCCTGCCCTGCCCACGCACTGAACGGGCACGCTGCAAACAAGCTTTGAACAAGGAACTGCACAACCACGCTCAGCAGCTCGGTATCACAGGGTTTTGCTAATGCAACTGGGAAGCTTTTGCATTGGAGCCATCTTAAGACGTAGGCAAAGCAAGCTCATGTCTACCTGCACTCCACGGGGCTGGTGCATGCTTGTGTTAATAACTCGGGGCATTTGTCTTAGCTGGCGTGTAAGGGCACACGCTGTGTGCCAGGCATGCTTGCCATGAGGTAGCCAATCACCCCCATCGTACCTGCAGTGCACCACCACCGGTCCCATGTCCGGGGTCCTGGCTGCGGAGGATCTCCTAACGAAGGTTAGCACAGGCAGAGCGTACTCTGGCACTCCCATGTCCGGCCACTGAGTGTAGTGGTACTGAATAACCGTTCTCTCGTTCTGCCGCCCTTTGGGGTTGCCTTTCTGACCCTGCGTGCAGAGTGTGCAGAGAAAGAAGAGAAAGATTAGGGAAGAGAAGCATGGGAAGACAACTCTACTGGCTTGCTCAGCTGAAAAAGTGCTGGACTGGAACAGAAGAAATCTTGTGCAGCTCTGCCTCCTGCTAGGTGGAGACAGAGTTCAAGGAAAAGAAGATGTGGGAACAGGTATTAACAGCAACAACTGTGACACCAAAGCAGAACTTGAGAAAAAAAAAATACAGGATAAACCTTTTACCAGGTTCCTTGTAATCCTGGCTCTGCTTACTTATTTCCCATCCAGCTGCTACTTCAAGTTGCCTATGCAACAGCCGAGTTTTGCTCGCGTGCCTTGCATCCTACAGAAGCCAGAAGGCATCTGGATGAGAACAGGGAAGGCTTTACTCACCTTTTTCATCTTTGTGTTCCTGACTGTGAAGCGGCGCACAGTGTAGCAGGCATGAATGTTTGTGCTCTTCAGCGTGACAATTATGTTGCCGTACTCCTCGCTGTTCTCTGACGGCCAGTACTGATCGCATTTTCTCTGAACAAAGACATAGTTGGGTGGGTTGGCTAAGGGTCTCAGCCGCTTCTTTATATTTGTGTTTAGAGCTTTTTAAAAAAGTAAAATCACAGCTAGCTATGTACCCCTCTGTTATGTTAGTTATATATTATACATCAATATATATCATCCCAAACCATTTAAAAACAAATTTCTGCCCACGTGATTTGAGGAGGTGTTAAGGAGCAGCTGCTAACAAACTAGAAAATCTCTTACTCTTCCTTTTTCAACAAGGTTTGTGATCATGACAATGATTCCAGTATTTTGTTCCCAAATCATCCTCCAGAAATCTTCAAAGGTAGACTTTAAAGGTCCCTGGGTAGCAATGTAGGCTTTTGCTTTGTTGTAACCCTTCAAAGAAAACCAAAATGCCAAGTGAGATGAAAGCAGTATCATGGCAGACATATTAATATTTTAAAGGTAACAAAGAAAGGTGCCTTTCTCATTTAAAATAGCGAGGAATTTGTAGCAAAAGTATTAGGTGAAGTTGGAAAACATGACCACATGTGGCAATACTTCCTCCTTGTGGAAGGACTGAGAGTTAGCGAAGAAAAAAACAATTTGAAGAACTTACATCGACATAATTAGCATTAATGTAGTCACTGTGCTTAGAATCTTTTCCTGGTAAAGGCCTTAGCTTCACCCTGCTGTGATCATCTGCAGGATAAAAAACAGAACAGAGGAGCATTAAGGAAACACAGTGCAGAACTGCAGGTAAACATCCTATTTCCTAGGTATTGGAGTAGTCCTTATTAATACATGGAAGAAGTTGGCCTTGGCTTATACTCAAGGGAGAGGTGGGAATATCTGTTGGTCATCTGCTCATGGCGGCAGGTCCTCAGGCCTCACATCCCTTAAAGTACGTGGTTGGTGCTGGGACAGCTTCTCTTGAAAGAAGACGGGAGCCTCAGGAGCACCATCTCTGCATCATCCCCATCACCCAGCGCGGTGCAACTCCAAGAGCCAGGGCACTCCACAGGGCTGTGTGACGCCATGCGGAGACCCCGGCTCAGCTCTCGCAGGCGGTAAAGATGCCTTGGCTTGGCGCCGTGTCTGAGCTCTTCATCCTCCCCTTGGGGCTGGGCTCAGACAGCTCTGCTGGCTCTGGGAGCCGAGCAAATGTCCTCACTCCTTCACCGCCCTCATCACGCCAAGAGGACAGACTTTCAGTCATGTTCTTTAGTTCCTCTTTTTGTTCCAGCCTAACGCTTGAATTCCGACTTAAATCGGAAAAAAATTGCAGTTCTTCTGCTCCTAGGCCGCAGCATTGGGCTGGATGGTGCTTCCAACACATGCAGAGATGAGACATGTTGGCTAACTTTAAGCGTGAAGAAACTGGTTTCTGTTGCTTTCCTTCAGCATCAATGGAGAGAGAGGCTCCTCCAGGGACAACCTGGAGGGCTGGAGTGCCTGCTCCAGTTCTCCTCCAGTGGTACTTCTCTCTCCATGCCTAGAGGTACCAGACATCTATGTCTACAATCAGAGCTGGGACAACCACAATGAATCCCCTTGCCTAAGGCCACACAGCAAGTCTTTTACAGGTCTGGGAATTGGTCCTCAGCTGGCACCTTGATTACTTCTGAGAATCTGTTAGAGACACACATTTCCCTCCTATGCCATCAAAAACATTCAAGATTTATTGCAATGTTTATGAACATTGTGAACTTTTTATCAGTGGCTCTCCATCTTTATTCCTAAACCACAGTGACTGCTGCATCTGCTATTCGTTCCACATCAGAGAATGATACAGAAAAAGCTACTGCATTCCCATCCCAGACCTGCAATAATTTGAATTCTAGAGCAGAATCCAGATTTGCAGTTCTCAGAGGAATACAGGCAAAGTCTGCACTGTGCTACAAAGATCACTGTTTGTCCAAGCCCTACACACAGCTGAAGCAGTTTGAAATACAGCAGATACATCCTGTAAGATTTACCACCTTTGGGACTGTAAGGGAATCCCAAGGATCATCAATAAAACTCTGCTCCACCATGCACTTCCCTTAGGCCAGTTTTCAGACATTAAAGGACAGAAGAGCTCTGATCATCAATTTATCCCAGTTATTTCTCCACAAAATTTCATACCAAACTGATACTTCTAAAACTACACTTGGAACATCAAACTGCAAAGTATTTTAAAGGAAAAGCTGGAGTGAAATCCTGGCCCCAGAGAAGTCACAACATCCACTGCCTTTAGCAGGGAAATTATCTCCCAGCCCCACTTTCACATGTTTATTAATTACTGTGCAATAATGTAATCTGAAGCCACCTGCCTTTTCCAGTCACATACAGACACACTGCGAGAGGAGAGCGCTTTTCCACGTTGATTCACTGTGCTTACTTACAGGCTAGGATGTTGATGTATCTGTTCTTGTGCTTGTTGTCGGGGTGGTTGGAATGCTCTGCAGTGATGTTCATGTCGGCCGTACAGCGCTGCACTTCCTAGGCATAAAAATTAATTGAACGGAAAATGTGTCAGTCCAAAGAATTTAAGCTTTATCTCCTTTTGCAACAGCTCACAGAAACCATGTTTAAAACATCGCTATCTTAATTGCTGGATTGAACACAAAGTCCTTCAGTGTTGTCCTGTATGACGTGGTCTGCTTAAACCAAGCCGCGTTAGCTGCTCGCTGGTGTGGCTCCTCTCAGACTTAGTGACAGATGCACTCGGGGCACCCCGAGGGCCGACCGCCTCCTCCGACCAGCAGTCCATCCATCCTCTGGACTGCATCTCCTGTGGTGCCCCACCCTGTCCCCTTCTTGGGAAGGGAAGACAAAGTCCCTCAAAGGCAACCATGGTCAGTGCAGCGTGAAAAACCAAGCACAAACCCCACTTCAACAGCAGCCTTTGGCCGCTGGACAACTTATCTGCTTATAACCTCTCAAAACAGGGTTTCTGACATTTAAGTTTGGCACTAACCTTTTGTTAGTTCTCTGCAGAGAGATGCCTTTTATAAAACATAAATAAAACAGATCTCTGAAGATAAGAGCGGGTGCTTTAAATACCACTGCTTGGACACTGATTAACAGCCCACAACACAATGAAAAAGATAAAAGGTTGTATCCACGTATGTAAACATTTACAAAGCAGAAAGAGGCCAGGCTTGTCAAGGTGTTCATGAAGCTAGAGATGCAGGTTTCTGTCTAGTCGGGGCTGTAGGTTAGATACCTAACTCCCATTGATTTTTTTTTAGTTCTTCACCTACCTCTTACTTACACTGTCCAACAACAGAATATAGGGCTACTGAACTGGGGCAATGGAGGGTCTTTTCCCTGACCCTAGAGAAAAACAGCTCTTCCCCTTGGCCAGGCTGTCCTAGAGAGTGACACACTTCAGAGACTGTCTTGCCAACTGAGCCACAAAAACTCATGTGTGATACCACCTTCAACATATATTTTTTTAATCTATTTAGCCACAGCCTTCCTGAAAAATCTAAATCCCTTTTTATCACTAGCATAAATATTCTTAGTTTAAAAACACATTTTTGAAAATTATATCAATGTTTGGAGTTTACAAAGTCGCGTAAGAAACTATATTTATTCAGTTTTTTGCAAGTCCCAGAAATCACACCAAACAGAACCAATTTCCCCCAAGGATATGTGGGGAAGTGCCAAATTACTTTGTACTTCAGGCTTTAAAAATAACAGTATAGAACCTGCCTAAGAGGGAAAATCATTAGGAGCTCACAGCTGCTACAAAGATCACGAGCTAAGTGACAAAGAAAAATTATCAAGAGAAATGCTATACAAACAGCAGATGTAACAGAGTTCAGCATTATGCAGACATTTCACAAAGGACTTGCATAGCAATTTTGATATCTTCCCCAGCATTTACATTTTAGAAGTGCAAAGTATACTAAAACCTTCAACATTTTATAGCTTTTATACCCACATGACACTCCCAAATAACAATTGCTTCTCTCTCTCTCTCCCCCCCTCTCCATAGGGAGGAACGTACTACACTCAAGGAGATGAGCTGAGCAAAGACAAAGAGGAATCAAGCAAAACTCTCAGCTGGCCCTAATAGAATTTTCATAGTTCCATTCCTATCACAGAAATAAAAAAACGCATTAAAGTGTGCGTTTCCCCTAATTCTGCCTGTCAGCTCCAGTAAGCAGGGGACTTCTGATTGCACAACGGGCAGGATCAGTTCAGCCTAAGTCATAATGGGAAAAGCAGCATTACTTACGTGTTAGGTTGATTTAATGTAATTTTGTTTTACCTTTTTTTTTTTTTGCATATAGAAATCATATAACATGACTGCTGTACTATTGTAGCTCCCTCCTAAAAAATAAACCCCTGATTCTGAAAAGCCTCATATCAAACTCTACATCCCTACATCACTACAAAATTGTTTTTAGAAGTTATTAGCATTGAAACATTTATGCCAAGTGCTGTAGAATTTAATACAGATGAATCCAATACGGTTCTGTGGAGAATACTCTAAAAAGTTATAGAATTTAATAGGGAATTACCTCCCTGCTAAGGAATTTTCTCTGACAGTTTAAATACTACATAGTAAATGTATCACTTTCTATTAAATTCTATAGGATTTTTCCATAAGGGAATTGGTTGGTGAGGTTAATCATTTTAATTAACCTTTTTATGTTGATGCTGACTGTTTTCTCAACTGTACATGTTCCCAGCTGGCCAATATAAAGTTAATAGAAGAGGAAGATTAAGCCAAGATGGTGAAAAACACAGCAAAGGCAAAGAAGGTCTGATGCTGTGAGAGCTGATCATCTGAAAATGGCTTTTCTTAATACATAACATTCTAAATGACTTTTAATACTCTGGAAAGCTGTTACAATGGTGGGTTCCTATGTCTGCACACTGCAAAGCATGGCAAAAGGAGACTGTTCAAGAAAAGTTTCCAGTTGCCAATGCACCTCAGCTCTTTCTGTATTTTTAAAAATCAATGTAGAAATAAAAGGCCATTTTGACTTTGGCCCCCTCTCCCTGAAGTCCAGGACACAACCAGTGCTTTGGGATGCTGGGGCTGTCCAGCGAGAAGGGGCCTGAGGGTATCCCCCAGCTCCATGCTGGCCACGGACAACGTCTGGCCATGTTGCATGGACAGATGGGGTTGAGAGCAGAGGGCGGTTATGCCCCTCTTTCACCCTCCCAGGTTCATCTCTCCAAATTCTAACAGCAAATTACTAAACCACAAGCTTCCTCCACCAGACAGTAAGACATAAGTGAACATTCCTTTGTTATTAAAGTCAAGGTGGTTGTCTTTCATCAATGCACAAAATGCTGCAAGAAGACAAGACTAGTTGCAGCCTGTTATCTATGCCTCTGGTTCAGAGTATTATGTACCCTCTGGCAGCAGAGGACAGCCTGGTGTTAATAAATATCACCCTGGAGAAAGCTCCAAAAAGTCACCATCCTAATTGTGCCATTTTACCACATTTATGTATATCACATATTTACTTTCCCAGCATTGCTTATGCAGTAGAACACCCTGGGATTTCTAAATCTTACTCTCTACCAAGTCTTTCATTTGCATTTAAAACATCACCATGATTACATTATTATTATGACTTAAGTTTGGAGGCAGGCCACCAGGTCGGGTCTGGTCCCAGGCTGCTCATTGCAGCCTAACCAAACTCCACTCCAATTAGCACAAAACTGCTACTGGCACCTTGGAGTAGGACAGATATCACCACATCCATAATTCATCCACAAACTTTACAGCTCTAGTCTTTTCTTCGGCTTTCCTTAATCCCACTTAGTCTCTTCTATGGATTTTAAGAGCAGCTGGCTAGTGTGCTGCCGCTCTTCATGTTTAACTTTGCAGAACACATTACTGTCCAAAGACGAATGGATACAGGCCCTTATTCTGTCCTTTCAGCTTATCATTGACAACCCAGGAAACCAAAGTACATGGTTTCAATTGACCATTAGTTACTGTAAAAAGTGTTCTAGTCTATGCTATTATGGCTAATTTACCTTTTAATTATATTGTCCATGCTAATGCTAATTGGAATTTGATACACCCAGGTTTAACGACCCATTTTCATTGCCTTTCTGAAACAAGTTACAAAGTAGTTTCTTTTAAACTTCAAAGAACTTCCATTTAAGTGTAAAATCAAACCGCTCCAGCGTCTTGCTGGCAAAATAAGGTTCTGAGCAAGAATCTTTGCTACAGTGACTGAGCAGGAACTCGGTCTCTTGATTTGGCCTTATGCAGTGCTGCTGTTGTTTCCCATTATTTCAGCCTGATGTCCTAGCAGGGGCTGAACTGTGAAAGCCTATGAATAGCAATGAGGGGGAATCATGAACAAAGAAAGGATCCTAATCTGCAGGACTAAATTAGAGAAGATCCATAGCTATGTTTTGATATTATTGTGATGTTTTTCAGCATGAAAGCAGCTAGCTCATTCACCCCTAAAATATTTTTTTATCTATTATTTTAATCCGAAATTAGAGAATTCTGTGGTAGTGCTCTTGCTGTTTGTTTTATCACAGCAAACATGAAGACAGCATACCAACAGAGACAGCAGATAGTATTTGAAGATATCCCGCAGGAATAGTGTAGATTTTCGCAATAATTTCACACTAGTATAAACTCTCCAACAGCACTCAAGAGAGAGGTGAGTTGGGGACAGCCTAGAAAGAAGAAGAAAATAAACAAACCAAAAGGACTCAACACAGGAGTAACAGTGGAGGGATCATGAACTAAAAGCTAAAAATTCATGTAAATGAGTGGAGAGGAGAGGATGGTGGAGGATCGTTTGCTTGCGACATCCTTCAGTAGGCAGGGGAGTGTCGGAGTCTGACTGAAACCTCGCATTGCCCGTGCGGGGCTACGGCTCCTCCGAGCGGGGCTTCCAGGCAGAAATGTTGGGCATGGCTGTGGTACTATGGTTAGTAGCAGAAAGCCCAGAGACCTGAACTTCTTTTATTGCTTCTCTTCAACCTGCTTTCTTAGTTCACAATGCCAGTTTCTTAGGGTGGGTGCAGCAGTGAGATAAGAATCGCGAACCCAGGAAGACCCTCTCTCTTCTGCAGCAATCCCTCCTCCCCCAGCCTCACCGTGCTGCTTCCCTTTGGTTTCAGTACAGCAATGTCAGGCTGAGAACACTTCTAATCATGGCAGTTTTGGGCCAGGATTATAAAACCTGGTGCAGTAATGTCTGCTAGCAGCATGCTTTTGAAATGGCATCTTTCTACTGCCAAATTCCTTGGTGTAGATGCAGTTATAAGCATGTGTCTGGTGTAAGCTGTGTCTAATCTGTAAGGGATGTCAGTATAACTACACAGAGCTTTTAGTGTTTCAAGAAATGTGTGAAGTGCGGCGTTATCTGTCTTCAATGCAGCCCTTCGCTAGAGAATAACATTCTGAGGTCACCGGTTAAAAAGAGCTAGCGACCCCTGCCCCAAGCAGCAGCAACCATGAGAATAACGTTAGCAAATCCCTGCCACATCGCTGAAGATAT